TAGGGGCACCTGGGTTTTTAGGGGCACCTGGGTGGCTCAGTTGGTTGAGCATCCAACTTTGGCTCAGGTCACGAGCTCAAGTTTCTTGGGGGTTCAAGCCCCACGTCAGGCTCTGTGCTGACAGCTCATAGCCTGGAGCCTGCTTAGGATCTGTGTTTCCCTCTCTCTTCCCCTCCCTGCTTGCACTCTGTCTCCCTCTCTCTCAGAAATAAATAAATAAACATAAAAAAATTAGAACAGGTTTTTATCAAGGATTACTGAGACCAGCACAATTGCTTAGAATAACAATTTCTGATGAGCTTCACTTTGGTGGAATTGTTGCTGCAATAAAGTTGCCATATGCTTCACTTTATGAAATTTAAAATTTATAAAACAGTTCTATTTATATTAGAAAAATGGCTATTCCTGAATGTTTGCAGATAAGATCCCTTTGTAGATTCAATTAATGCTTTTGAATTGATGGATAGTTCTTATCCATGTGTTGGAACTAAAATGTACTTGTAAGGATTGTGAAGATTAGAAGTAATGTATAAAAGGTGTATGTGTTTAGCACATAGTTGGTGGACAATCAAATGTATGTAGGATTATTTAGAATTATATTCTTTGTTCACTCATTTAACATTTATTAAGCTATCAAATTCCATGCATAGTGATAATTTCTTATATGAAAAAAACAATATTTTGTTACAGTGGTGTACTTTTTGGTCTTTACCTATTATGTAATATATAACTTACCTATGTATCCATTATGTACTATTTAGTTGCCATAGATCCAGTCTTGAATTTTGAGCACAAAACTTTCAAACTTTTTTTCAGCTTCTGAACAAGTATGCTTATTTTCAATACATTTATTATATTTTTTCTTTCTCTTTATATATACACATGCATGAAGTGAAGTAGTAAAATGCTTTTAGAGTTTAAAAACCCCATGAAACTCATTTACCTTTTCATATGTGACATACTTCAATTTATCAAGACCATGATATGTTAATTAGAATGAGAATGCAAAAAAAAAAAAAAAA